CAGCGGCAGGGATGAGGGGGCCGGATGCGCCACGCTGCGTGCGGGTACAAAAAGGCCAGGCGTGCCGACCGGTGTCGGTTGCGCGGGAGCGGCGGCGGCAGCAGCGGCGGCGTTGATTGCAGCCTGGCGATTGTCACCCATGCGATTGCGGTTAACGCCCGGGCTGCAAGCGGAGAAGAAGGGAGTGGAGCAGTTCCGGTTGGCTGTGTCGGGGGTCCATCAACCCTTGGGACAGCCTGCCCAGGTGCCTGCCTCGGTCGAATTCAATCCCAGCAGCCTGTCCCACGCCTGTGCACGGGAGGTCCTGCGTGTCAAAAGCCACATGAGCATCCGGACGCGCATGTAGCCCAGGCTTGCAGCCTCCCTCCCAGGCTTCAATTCTGCTAGCAGGGGCCTTGCATGCGGAGAGCATGGTGAGCGCGCCTCCTTGGGCGGGAGGCAATTGGGAGCCCGCGGCAGCCATGCCTCGCTCCCCTAGCTGCCCCCGCGCCCTGGTAACCGTCCTAGCCATTCTTTTGTGGATAGGTGAGGATGCTGGGGGCGCTGCTGTCCCGGGTGCCGGCGCCCCGCTTGCGGGGCAACTCGCTTCCCTTGCGCTGTCTAGCCGCGTCCACCTCTCCTGCAACGAGTGCGGAGAGCCCGGCCCGTGGGGGTACAGCTTGGGTCCAGTGCAAGCGGCTGCGGCGGCACAGCGGCGGCGGCGTGCCATGCGCCGCCTGCCCGGCGGCGGCCCTTGCAGACTGCCCTGCCGTGCACGTTGCCTGCAGGCGCAGCCAGCTCGGCGACCCCCTTGGAAGCTGGGCACTACTACCTCCGGCTTAGGGACCGGTGCGCCTCTGACGGTGAGGCCAGCCGCTGCCTTGCCACATATCGTCACTATTACTGCACGGATCCCTCCCACCCCATTGTTTCCTGTCTTGCTTTCCCTACCCCAGGCTACATGACCTGCATACGCTGCTACAGCCAGGACTGGTCCAACCAGGTGTACGCGGCGCCGGCACGGGACGGCAGGCTGCCGCAGGCGTGGCAGGTGGAGCATGTGGCGCAAGGCGATGCCGACGCCTTTGTGCTGCGGGTGAGCACCTGTGCACAGCGCAGGCCAGGCCAGGCCAGGCCAGGCAGCAGCAGGCCGCCGCGTCGGGCAGCCCCAAGCAGTCAAGCTGCCGGGCCGGGCAGCAGCAGCAGGCTGGCCGCCAGCCAGTGTGGCACCACACCCGCAGGCGGGCGCCCCCCCTCCCTCCGCCTCGAGTGTGCAGCTGCCGCGCAGCTCTCGCGGCCGCCCCGCCACTCGCCCGCCGCTCGCCGGCCCGCCCCGCCGGCCCCCGCCGACCTCCCCTCCCGCCTGCCCGCGCGCCCGCCTGGCTGCAGCCTCTGGACCCCGAGTGCTGCTCCAACTTCCTGTCGGCGCAGCCTGCCGGCTGCGGGCCCTCGTTCGTGGTGATAGAGCCCAGCGACCGCTCCAAGCACCCGGCGCAGATCTACTGGCTGGCAGAGGCAGCCACCGGCGGCGTGCGGGTGTACCTGCAGGCGCGGGAGGCAT